ATACTATATTGTCCCACAATTAACATGATTTGCAGGGTAAATTTAAAAAAAAAAAATTCTCTCCGTGTATTTAGCAAAATTTTTAAACCTTTCAACAAAATTCGTTCTTTCCGAGTAGAGCTTTTCCGTTGACGCATTATTTTTATATAGTACCGCTCGCATATATATATATATATATATATATATATATATATATATATAGAGACTGCCGAACGATAGATATATAGCGGAAGGAGTTAAATTATGCGCCGTAACAGTCCTCATCCCGATTGCACACCTGCCTTCCCATTCACCTTCATTAATGTTTTACCTCGCGGTCGGCCGCGACGCGAGGAATCCTCGCTCGATGGAGTCGAACGAAGCGAAAATCGTTAAGCAAAAAGAAAGTGTGTACAGACGGCGGAGGGATATGCAGCCCAGGGTACCAAGAAATAGAAGAGACCAAGCGCCGCCACTATAGAGAAGTAACGTGCCGAGGAAAAAAGTTTCGCGCTGATCGATACGTATAAAGCCTTGTTTCTCGGTCGAAAGGAGAAAATGCGCGATTTAAGAGGCATCGCGCGGTCGGTGGTACGCCGTGGGTACATCATCTGCAATGATTACCTTTCGCGTTACGGCACCGGTTCTCAATCTTCCGCAGGTCACGAACCGAGCTCGCTTCGTTCCCATTAGATGCGCCGCGGTGCTGCGATATACAGAATGTAGGCACAGAAGAAGAGACACTTTAGACAGCGAGGCGCGCGGCGGGGAAAAAGAAAACACTCCAAGAGATGTAATACGCGCGCTAGCTTTTGCTCGGTACTCGGATGCCTCTGCGCGGCATTAAAGGGATCCCGTGGAAATATTTCAAAGGAAAGTCATGTAGAGATATATTTAAAATAGAGAAGAGAGAGAGAGAAAGAGAGAGAGAGAGAGAGAGAGAGAAACGTTTAATAAAGTATTTCATCGGTCTAATGGGATCATCCGACTGCCGAGAATATATCACGGTGAGATAAAATCCATATTAGATAAGGGACGTGAATGCTAAACTCGGAAAATAGGACACGAGTTTTTAAAGAGCCCGAAGTCTCTCTCGGGCGTCGCTCTCCTCGAAAATTCGGGCACAGATCGAACGCAGATGGGTATTGACCCACAAGCGCGGGACGCGATAGCAATGACTCACTAAACATTCCATCTCTCGCAGGATGAATGTCATGAATACCGTTACGTAAATATATGCGCATCTTTTTTAAATTTTAGAACTTTATATTCACATTAATTTCTCGTCTTTCTATACCTATGTTGTACATCATGCATAAATATATATTAAATTAAAAATATATATTCAAATATATTAAACAATATTTAAAATAGGTAATTTTTTTAATGCAAAAACTTGAAAATGTCTAAGACAGTTGTGTGTGTATGTGCCTATACTTCTGCTTCTTTCATAGGCGGATGATCCCTTGATCTGAAGTAACAGATGCTCGGGTATCGCCTGCAGAAGCTATCGACTACGAAAAACACACACATACCGTGCAGGGAGCGCCCGAGGATTTTTATTCGAAATGCATCGCATAGATGGTGAAAGGTGACCGGCGTGCTACGATCTTCAAATGTAGGACGATAAATGGCACTGGCCCGATTTGTCGTAGAGAGCATTGCGGATCACATTAGTTCGCGTTCCGCGTTCCGTAACTGGCCTCGCGGAATAAAGATTCGCCAAGTAAAAAGGCGAATAATTGTAAAATTTCGAAGGAAGGATCCGATCTCGAAAAAAAGAGGGGTCCTACGGTGACATACGGAGATCAAAAACCTAAGATTTAGTGTAAAATATGTAACGTCGGAACTTAAGATATGGTTCAAAATATACAATGACGAGCACTACCTCGCTTCGTTTTTAAATCGGTCGATTCTATTGATGTAAAAAAAAATTTATCATCTCTCTGGTAAGCTTTACGAAGCTGGAAGATATCGAAGTCTCTTTTGAGACAGGGGGAAACTCGAAAACCCTCATAAATGATGAGAAAATATATGTTGAAGCACTGTTTTGCCTCTCTCGGACTTTGTTTTCAGCTACATTCGGCAAAATATCACCGAGCCTTCGAGCAGCGGCCCGATAACTTCGGATAAATGTTTTTCTTTCACACTTTATTGCACGGAGCGAGCCGGGTAAAAGCGATCGGCCCCTCGCGCGTCTCCGCATCGCGGGGCCGGTGCCTCTCGCGCTGTACGCCGTAAATGCATGGAATCTGACCTTTCTTGCGCCGCGTTCGGTCGGGCGCTCGCGCGCGAAATCTCCGCTTACCGTTAGCGAGGAACGTTAGCGGGCACCGCGGAGGTACCCACGAAGGTGCCCTCGCAAGTGATCCCCCTTAATCGACGCGACGATTTCATTGTATTATTCCCTCTCCCGGGGAAGCAAAAACGATCGCGGCGCTCGTCGCGGAAAAAAGTCACGAGGAAGCAAATTCCGCAATACTCAGACTCGTCCGTGGTCACGCCGACGGTCGTTTATTTCGCATTACTTGCCGATTCTTTAGTTAGCTCGTATCGGCCTCCTATAGGAAAACGACGGACGAATATTGGATCCCAGAATTTCTGGATCCAGAGCCTCTCCTCCGAGCCGTTGGGAATCCTTCCACGCGGCTCCTGATCGCTCTTTCGCGTATTCTTCTCCTCCGGGGGGGAGTTCCTCGAATCTCAATACTCGCGTTCCGAATATGGAAATATGATACTTCCCACGGAGATCGAGAGTAAAAGGAGCAGAAGAGGACAGATTGCGAGAAGAGGCAAAGAGAAAGAGAGAGAGAGAGAGAGCGAGACCGTGGTTAGTAGTGCGCGAGAAAATAAACGCCGTGCATGCACCTCTCCCCTTCCCGCGGATTAGAATGCATGTATCTATGCAGGATTCCTTGGATGATATCACCGCGAATGCCTTTACTCACAGAAACGAAAATCCCTTAGGCGGTTTTATGCCTGGCCTGCCGTAGAGTAATCTCGAATACACTGAAAAACAAAAAATAAAAGTCGTCCACGTTCATGCGAGATGCCTTCGCCTTCTCCGTCCTCTCGGACGCGCGTACTCCTCGCGGGGCGGGGGTGGCTCGAAAAAAGGGTGACGTTCGATGTGAGAAGAGTATCGCAAAAAAAAAGTTACAGAAAATTACGGAACCGAAGCGCGCTGCAACTCCAAGATATATGTAATCTGTGCTCCGGCGCGATCTATTTTCGCGAGTGATCCAAGACGAGCAATCGTCGTCGGCGATTGCGCGTCTTTATCTCTCGCTATCAATCACTATCTTTCGAAGCGGCGTCCGTTAAAGGCGCCTCGCGGTTCGCGGTGACGTAATCGCACCGCCGAACACATATACACGCGCTCTTCGCGTTTATTTACGTGACGCGGATTTTAATTTACCGGTCGTCTCGCGAAAGTTCCGGCGTTCCGGGAAATCGGCGAGCCCCGGGAGGCCAACGCACGTTCGAGGACGATCGAGGATCATCCGCGCGCGCGCGCGCGCGCGGCGTTACTCCCGGATGATTGTTTTCGCGGGTAAGGTTAAGGGACACCGCGATCGACCCGTGTGTGTGTGTCGCGGAGATCCCCCGTGTCGCCGAGGGACAGCGGGGGACGATCCTTACCTCTTCTGCAGCTGAATCTCCCGGGTGAGTCGCGCGGATACGTGGTACACATCGTAGGAACTGAACACGGGGGGGTAGGGGAGGAGCACCTACGAGCAGCGACGCACGGTTGAACGTGCGTGCATGTCACCGCGATTTGCACAATTCGGACGGATGACGTGACGACGACGGGTGTCCGTTTTTTTTTTCGGAGAACGACGGCGAACGACTCGGCGTCCTCGCGCGATACGACGTGTGTACAGTCAACGACGGAGTGGTCTTTCTCTCCTCTCGCAGGACGGTGGTTGGCGGTGCCACGCTTTCTCAGCCGTGATGTCAAACGTCCACGTCGGGGTTCACGTCGCGCGCGAGCGATCACGTACGCGACCGAGTGTGTGCACGGGATTGAGGAGCCGAGACGAGAGCCGAGTCGGCCGAAGTCGAGAGCCGCGCCGCACCACCTTGTCACTCGGCGGATTCGATAGCACGGAACATGCGTCGTGCGACGTCCCGCGCCGCGCGCCGTCGTCGCCGGCCAATCGGCGCGCTCGACTCCGCGAGTCGAGATGACCGTGGAGGGGAAGGAACAGCGGAAGGTGTGGTAAAGTGCAGAGAGTGCAGACGAAGGGAGCAGACAGCGACTCCGGGCTGTGTTTATAACCTTACTTCGCATTCTCGTGGAGGATTACGTAAAAGCGTTTATATCATCCCCGATTAAAACAGGAGGAGCGCGATGAACGTCCAAGGTGCGGACGAGGACGATCAGTCCAAGGCGGTGATGCTGTTCGGCCGAGACATCAGGAAGATTCCCTGTTTCAAGCATAGCATGCTGAACGGCATCTACAGCGGTCTCGGGGCCGGCCTGGCCACCTTCATGTTCACCAGCCGCACGAAGCTGTCGACGAACGTCGCCCTGGGCTCCTACATGGGCGTCGTCGTGGTTTACTGGTGCTACTGCCGGTACAACTACGTGATGCAGAAATACGCTATGCAGGACCTGCAAATCGTCCTTCGGAATAAATCGGCCGACGACGCGTAGCCAGGTCAAGGGAGCCTCTTAGGAGCATCAGGGAAAATGACACGTGAAACCTCGTGCTCCTCGATAAAGACTTTTAAATAATGTACGAGAGAGATGCTTTATGCGAGCGTCGTGCGATCACAGCACAATATGTAATATAAGATTTTGTATGTTATTTATAAAATGTGTGTGAAAGGATTCCTGAAGAATGCCCGAGTTATTTTTAATCTTTTCAACTGTATATAACATATTACATACTAATTTGATATCTATGAGATTGTGGGTTCGATTGTATATTTATATAAAAACATAGTAATTTTTTAAAGCGTCAATAGACACGAATTCTCGTAGATTTCAATATTATAATATACTTGCAATTGGGATAATTTAATCATTGTATGACTACACAATTGCATTGTATTATATTTGAGCTAATTGAAAGCGTTAAAAAATGATAGATGTTTTTTAACATAATTGATACAAAACTGTTGTACAGTACATGGTATTGTTCTGTATAATAAATTTATTATTTTTCAAACTTATATATTTAATTTTTCCCCACATTCTACAGACACGATCGCGTTAGAGTTGAAGCTGTTATTTCTTATATTCCAATTCGATTCTATATAATACGTTTTATATAATACGTTATATAATACGATTTTTCCGTAAATTGTAAAAGTCTTCACATTTGCTATCACGATAAAAACGGATACCGCGATAAATGAGCTCGTATAACACACTTTATTTTTCCAATTTCTATGAATTCCCCGCGACTGTGTACATATGTAAAATGTAAATAATATGTAAAGTGACCTCTAAGAATCTCGCGAATACGAGTGAAGCAGTTCGATTCCTACAGTAGTACAGTGCTTTCGGAGCCGCAGCGCGCGGCACATGTCTAAATAAAATGCGTTTAACCGAACTGATATTTCAATTCAATCAAAAAATCTTTATACATTAAGGGACAATAACGGGCTGTGATTTAGGATAATAGCTATAATGTCGCAGAACGATATGAGCGACGATGAAACTGATGGCCTGCAAACGCCGGGGGTGTACCTCAGCACGACTTCTCACGGCGCGGGCGGCCGTAATTCAGGTAAGGATATCGGAACGGAATCTGTTTATCAACCCCAGAACTACACGCTGCATCTCTTAGACTTTCAATAAGACATTTTTATACTCTAATAAAGATGCCCCTACAGAGCTTTCCAGGCAAATATCAGACATCAATAAACAATAACACACTTAAATCGTAAACAATTATACAATTAAAATTCCAATCCGCTTGTTAAATCGCAAAGTTACGATTAAAATTTAATACAGCAATTTTGAAGGACGCGCTAGCAGCTTGATATTTTCGCCGGATCTCTCGGAGAATTTATCACACGTTTGTAGTTCTGGGATTCAATTTGCAATTTCCGGATATAATTCGCAATGGCAATTAATGTCCTCAAAGTTGTGCGCAGCCCGATCAGTCCCTGCTCCTCCGTTTCGAGCTCGGTGATATTCGGTCAGATCCCCGAGGAGGTGCTTCGCGCCTGGAGTCAACTACCGGAGGCGATACGTCTGGATCCGAGTTTGGCGGTCTTTCAGAGGGAATATGATCGAATAGCGGAAACGAGGTGAGCGAAATGAGCCTAAAGAAATCTCCGCGAGAAAGAATTTCTAACATAACGAGAGATAACGCGCCGTTTCCAGATCTCTCGACTGCCCGAAGAGAGACTGCCTGATTGTGAACATGTCTCTCGGGACACAGCCCGTGGCGCCGAACAGGTAAATCACGTTGTCTTTACGTGACGCGATTAAGGGGGAATTTTAACGCGAGACCCGATGGCGGGTCTCTCAGAACGTGCGGATCCTAATAAACCTGATATTTTGACAGCACGCAAAATCAGAACAACATCGACGAAGACGGGCAAGATGTGCAGACGCAGGAGAGACAGAAGCCGTTTTGCCGTTACATGAAATTGATCGTACTCTCCTTCTGTTGGCTGCTATTCACAGTAAGATACCATCGGACCGGCATCGATTAACAAATCTTACGTTCGCTTTGTATTGCAGATGATAATGATGTTCAAGAACGAGAAGCCCGAGACGATGCACCAGCTTTCTGTGTCTAGCAGAGAAAGTCAGAGTATCCTTCCAGTCGATCGGGAAATTAATCAAACTGCGAATTTTTGTCTATTTCTATTTTGAGTGAATTAAATTCGGGAGAAACAAAATTTCATCGTTAAATAATATAATAATCAATCTGCGAATTTATGCCTATTTCTATTTTGAGTGAGATAAAATTCAGAAGGAAACGACGAAATTTCGTCGTTAAATAATATAATAATATCAAGTCGCGAGATACTCTCTCCTTAACAATATATAGATTACCGAATCAACGAGCACGTTACAAGCAAGTTGATCAACGTGACGATGGAAGGACCATTGTTGCCGTTAGTTAAAAACGAATGTTTACCTGCGAACTTATCCGCGCGTTATTTAGACGTACGGCTACAGCTTTTGGCGGGCAGGAAATTCAATTCAAACCTCTCCTCTGCCGATTTGGACAATTTGAAGGTGTCTACATTTTTAAACGCGTTTTGCTTTGCGCAAAATTATTTCGCGTACGCTCATACTTGCATCGAAAGAATGCATCGATGCTAAACCCAGACGCCGATTCTGAAACAGAAAAAAAAAGAAAAGGAATCAGTCATATTAACAAACTGCTTCGCTCTTATTATTTCAAATATCCTTTGCGCGGTCGTTTCTTTTATACATTTTATATATTTCGTAAAAAAAAAAATTAATTTTAATTATATCGCATCATGTACCGCGTGTATTTATCCAAATAGCTAAATTTATTGACATTTATTAAAATTTTGCTTACTGGATAATTATGCTGTGTAAACTATATTAGCTATATTTGCGATTATTAATTGCAGATTGTAAGCGACGTGTGGACCTTGCCGATACTGCCTGAAAATTTGATCAACATTTTCCCCGAGCAGAGGCACCAGAGGGTTTTCAAAATAAATGTCGACAGCAAGTACGCGCGCGTGTTATTTCATATTTTAATATTACTCAAATCTTAATGAAAATAAGTTTTATAAATTTTATATTTTATATACGAGATCAATTTTGTCGGCAAAATGCCAGTAGAGAGATATTTCCGAGTCTCGCAAAAATATATCTCAGAATTTTCTAACAAAGTGTATCTATTTTATTTGTAGGACTTTGTCGCACGGCATAATGTTCGTCAACCTACGCACAAATTCGAAGTCCAATCTTTCGTTCTCGTTAGCCTACGATCTGTCGCCGATAAACACCGACACCGGCATACCGTACGCCGCTGTTATCCTGATCAGTCTATACATCCTGATCATCTTCGAGGTAAATCATGTCACGCGAATTTAGGATGTGTTTATTACTGTATCGATTCCTAAATGCCTCGCAATGTTACGATCAATTTGAATTATATATCAATTTAACCGAATTGGAGGAAATTTCAACAGATCGTGCACAGAGCTCTGGCTGCCATGCTGGCGTCTACGATGTCCATCGCGATATTGGCGACTCTAAACGAGGTAACGCGCAAACGCACCCCCTTCTATAATTTTCACTTTTTAAAATTTAAAACGTGGCATATTTTTTTTTTACTTTAGCGACCAAGTATGGACGAACTGATATCCTGGATAGATATGGATACGCTGATACTGCTGTTCTCCATGATGGTGCTGGTCGCCATCATCGCCGAAACTGGGGTGTTCGACTGGCTGGCGGTCTACGCTTACAAAGTAAGAGGAGAAGAAAATTGGCACGTGCCTAAAGTGGCACAACTGAGATATGTCTTTCGTCACATATTAATTTTTTAGATAACCGCCGGAAAATTGTGGCCGATGATAATGGCCCTCTGCTTCTTCACCGCGTTTCTATCGTCGCTGCTGGACAACGTGACGACCGTGCTGCTAATGACTCCGGTGACCATTAGACTGTGCGAGGTGATGGAGCTGAATCCCGTGCCGATCTTGACCGCCATGGTGGTTTACTCCAACATCGGCGGTGCCATGACGCCGGTCGGCGATCCGCCGAATGTCATCATCGCTTCCAATCGAGATGTCAAAAACGCCGTGAGTTTTACACGAAGCTGAGCGCTTGCACGCTTCGGAAATAGAAAAGATAACGTCTTCGGTCGACCTGACGATTAACAGACGATTGTCGCGTCGTAGGGAATCGATTTCGGTACGTTCACCTTTCACATGAGCATCGGCGTGATAGTAGTGCTGATCGTGGTCAGCGCGCAAATTCGCTACATTTTTCGAGACGTCGCGGTTCTCAGGTTCGACGAGCCGCAAGATGTACAGGTATATATACGCCACGAATACTCCCAATGCATTGGAGTATCAAAAAATTATACGATTTCGCGCATGATTGTTCCCACAGGAACTGAGGCACACGATCGCTATTTGGCAACGAGCGGCGGCGAGTCTCTCCAATTACAGCAAGGACGAGAATCTCGTGAGAGAGACGTTACTGAAGAAAGTGCAACGTCTACTGTCACAGCTGAAGAAGAAGCTGATCACGGGGAGCGCGGCGTTAGAGAAGTACAAGACCACGCTCGAGGAATTGCAAGAAAAGGCAAGGCTGAATAGTCATTTCAACTTTAGGAGGGAGATCGGAAGAGCA